CTGGTTGAGGTTAGTTGTATAAAAAGGCATTTTATTATAAGTCTTACTGTTTTTCTTATGCTAAATATTTGCAGAGATTTAATCATAGGAGATATCGTAATTCTCCTATAACAATGAGCAGATACACTATTTTAGCCTTTTCTTGTGCACCTAGCTTGCGAGTACATTATATTTAGTGAAATATAGGAGAATGATATCCTTTTCCTGTTATTAAGTTGTAAGATTGGCTTTTGTCCCTGTTATCTCTGGTCATTTCTTCTTGAGTAATGATTAAATTTTAATATTCCCTGTTGCAGCTGCTTCACTGGAATTTACCAGGTCTCAGGTCGTTGCATCAGTACCAGGAACCTTTTTCTGTGTTTGGTACGTTCTGAAAAAGCATTGGTTGGCGAACAATATTTTGGGGATTGCATTCTGCATTCAGGTTAGTTCTTCCTCATTCATATGGTAATTTTTCTAATTTTTATGTTGTTTTGATGATCGATGATATTCTGCTTGATGTGTTTTTACATGATCTTCTCTAGTTGGTTTTGTACCTTCTTATATTTTACCTACAAAAGTGTCTTACACTGCATTATGCATTTCATCCAAAATTGACTCTGTTTTGACATTTTCTTTTGAACTTACTTTATACTGGGGAGTTTGGAGTATTTATCGATTCAAGGAAATCCTATATCATCTTTTCCTAAACCATAGTAGACACAGTTACTAGATGGTATCTAGTATCTGCTCTCAAATATTGCACAGTTGTCATTGGGTGTATATAAGACATAGCAAATAGTATAAACTAAATATCTTACGAATAAAAAGAAAGCCACAGTTCTCAAAGATTTGGGGTGACCTCTGTTGATCATTTCTTTTCATTTATCTCTATTGAGGGTAATGTTTCTAGATAATATCAATCTTTTTTATTGTTTTAGATGAAGCTCTCTTTTTGATTGGACCAATTTTAACTGTCTTTAGCAGCCTTTGACATTCTAAATAATCTTGGATGATTTTTTTTTAAAACTTTTTATCCATGATTATCATAACCCTTTAACTTTTGCAACCTTTTTTGAGCACTCTTCTTAGACTTGTATCCTAACTGTGGTTGGATATTTGACTTGTGAGGTATAGCTGTCTTTGTGTTGAAGCGCTATGGAATTAGGATCCCTAGGAAGTGAATCTTGATTTTTGTTTTAAGAAAAAGTTGGTTTTTTCTAGACCGATCCAGAACCTTCTGGGCATAGGTTTCAAGTGTTTTCAGGTTTTTTGTCAAGGAACACAACAAGAACTATGCCAAACGATGATAGTGTAATAGGAAACTCTTCAAGAAAAAAAAAGGTGTGATAGGAAATATGGTTGGGACATAAAATAGAGGGAATATGGGATCTTGCTGAGGAAAAGTGAACAAATACAAATATGGACAGCATATTAGGCCATCTGGAGCTTATAAATTAGACACGGTTCTACCATGTAAGTAGCCAGTTGGATCCTTCTTTCTTCTGTTTCCTGCCAAAGATATCCAATTAGTGAGGATATTATGGAAGTGTTTGTCAGATAATCTATCTGTAACTTAGCCTATATCGTTGCCTACTCATTTTTTATTTTGTAGCATAAGTCACTTGGAGGGTTTACTCTTATATAGGACAAGAAGTTTTCACATTACGCCAACACATTATATTATGTCAAAATTGTGTCTGGTTTTTAAATAAAAGGAATATAAGGAGAGGGTCGATGTAGTAAATAGAGCTGTTTACATTACTTTTCATCAAGTTTAGTGGAAAATATATTCAACAAGCTCTTCTCCATTTTGCAGGGAATTGAAATGCTATCCTTGGGGTCATTTAAAACCGGTGCCATTCTCTTGGTAATTGCGTACACAGTTGTACTTATCTTCTAATACTTTGTGTGCCTTCTCTTTAAAATATTAGATTTTTGTGATAGATAGTCCTTGGAGACGATTTGCTAAGCAATACTTCAATCCATGTAATTTGCAATCTTTTTTTTTTGTAATTTGCAATCTTATGATAATACACCTTATGAATCATAAAACGCCTTAATCACTGGCATTACACTACAGCATGAGGATCAAACATCATTATCAAGAGCTTTTTTTGCCTCCACGTTCCATGTGCACATCTTCATGGAGCCACTGGTCATGTGTGTGTGTTTTGGCAATATGCATCAATGTGGAGTGAAGTTTTTATTCATCTGTTCCTGAGATGTTGGGTTGTCATTTATTCAAAGATCATGGCATGGAGTACTGATAATTTTCTTTTAATGCCTTATGTTTTGGATTTTAGGTTGGACTATTCTTTTATGACATCTTTTGGGTATTCTTCACTCCGGTAATGGTTAGTGTTGCTAAATCTTTTGATGCTCCAATAAAGGTGAGTTCACTATGCTATTAGTTTTAGATGTTTGCTTGTTGGTATGAAATTATGTGTGTGTATATGTGCTTGTTTTAATGTGCTTGTGTTCCTTCATGTCATGAACAGCTTCTATTCCCAACATCTGATGCTGCACGACCATTTTCCATGCTTGGCCTTGGTGATATTGTTATTCCTGGTGAGATATTCTGTTTTTCGTCAACGTGTTCTAGTCAGGTTGTTTTTCTACAGTTTTTTTAGTTATGTACAAGGACAACATTTTAAATAGTGGATTAGGAGATATGTCAGAAGCTATTAAAAGCGGAGAATTGGTATTCATTGCCTCATTCACCAATGGATGAATAATTGATGGTAGTTCTGAGCGGATATGTTTGGCCATCCACATCTGCCAGTTACACATTCCTCTTTGTTCTGCAACCATAACTAGATTCAGTTGCAACCATTAAAAGCCAAAGTCTGAACAATATGGACAGGAATGTGGACAGGCTAGCTGCAAATTTGATTTTATATTGGATGGCCTCATTCACAGAAGGCTAGCCTCATTTATATTAGATGAACAAGAACAATAATAACAAGCTGTAATGTTTCAATTATCTCGGTTGGCTAGATGGATTTTTTTTCCCCCTGCCATAGAGTTCTATGTAAGTCCATATCCCTGGGAAAGACATTCATTAGATGATAACATTAAAATGATTAGATTAAACAGTTTTAAGTAACTCTAGTGATTGCACTAGATAATGAGATCATAATTGTGAAGAAAAGGAAAATATATATCATCCTTTTTGGTCAAGGGTCCTGATCACTTGTTGTTGTAGAGAGGTTAAATACTATCCAAGTAGAAACAACTGTCTCAGAGTTCACAGAAGCATTGAAATGAATTAAAGAAAACTATGGGTCTTGGTTGTTGTGGTGTATCTGCTGGTTTTGATTCCTGAAAATGTTTCATTGTTGCTTGCATCAATTTGCTTAAATTTCTGATTGTTGTTCTGTAATTTTTTTGTATCATATCTTTACATGCTTTGCTGCTGTTTCAGGGATTTTTGTTGCATTAGCATTGCGCTTTGATGTGTCAAGAGGAAAACAACTACGCTACTTTAGTAGTTCCTTTTTGGGATACACTGTTGGGTTGGTCCTCACAATTGTTGTCATGAATTGGTTTCAAGCTGCACAGGTGAGTTTGTAAAGTTGTATTTTATTGCTAATGTTGCTATCTAGTACCCTTTCCTCCATATTTAGATGTCTTACCAACCACTTACTCTGCCATATGCAGCCCGCTCTGCTTTATATAGTTCCTGGTGTTATTGGATTTGTAGCTGCTCATTGCCTTTGGAATGGGGAAGTAAAACCGGTTTGTTCCATATCTTTTTTCCTTAAACAATTAATCTTGTTTTACTTTCTCAATTTATGATCTGTGGTACCCTTTATTAGATTCTTCAAATAACAAAGTGCAAGAGGATTATTACCTTTTCAGCAGTGAATTGGTATTATTAACTTTTGTGACCATTTATGGATTTGACTAAATTAGCTATGGAAATAGAGTAGAACGTTTTCCCATTAAAAAAAGTGAAGAACCGCTTGAACCATTCTGTTTTACTGATCTTTTTGAAGTACACAAGAGAATAGCTACATAATGATCTTTGTTTGGAATTGTCATCACTTTGTTATGTTAATGTGTGAGATGAACTCGAAAATATTATTTCCTGCAAGTGAGAAACATAAATCAATAGATTTGATAATCTGCCAGCTACATAAGTGACATACAGTTCCTAACGGTTGTGTCTAGTGTCTACCAACTATGAGTTACTTGAGACGGTAGCGTGGTTGAGTTGTCATTTGAATTACATAAATGATGGTGAAGGGTTAATTCAAATTGAATTAATTTGAATTCAATTTGATTGTTTACACACAGACCTTTACGGCACATCATTTTGCTCATAGTAGGACATTAATCCATGTAATAATGCCTCGTGATTTGATATATGAGAGCAAAACATGCAATACCAAGCTGTTACCAATTGCTATTAGACTTACAGTATATGAGAAAATTGAAAGGTTATATTTTTTTGTTTATTCTAACATCAAATTTAATTTAATTTTTGTTTAGAAATGAACTCATGACATTTTTCTCCTATGTGTACAGCTATTGGAGTATGATGAATCAAAATTGTCGACCGAACCCAGCAGCAGTTCCACACAAGATGGAGAAACCAAAGCCGACAAGAAAGTGGATTAGTTGTTCATTTTGGTTGTCAAAACAATTATGATATTTTGTCACAGGTGCTGTTCAACTAATATCAGAGCGTTGCTCTAAATAGGCTTTGAAACGTTAAAAAAGAGTTTTACAAGTACAATTAAATATTAGTATCATCGGTACCTGTGGATGATGATCTGTTGAGAATTTATCATTCCTTGGACACCACAAATGCACTTGGCAACGGTGCAACAATTCCAATAGCTAGGGTTGTTGGCTATGGAGTATTTATGTCATGGAACTTGGGCATTGGTTTTGAAACATGCTTAATGAATGACACAAGTGGATCATCAGAACTCTTATCTCACCCAAATGTGATGAGCCTTTTCTTACCAAACAGGTGAGTTTACTCTCAGCACACTGTTGTCAGTAAGTAGGGTTGGAATGAAGCTTTTTCATGAGCTTATTGATCTCAACAAGCTGTTTACAGGATGGCATTGATAGGACTTGCAGACTATACATACATGTTGGCTGGTCAAACCCTGAAGCTTTTGACACAAGGTTTTCGATTTCATGGTGAGATTGACTTTTAAGTGTCGAATGACTGCAGCTAATATTGCATCACAGGCGCCTCATAACTGGAACTCGACGACGTGCAGCCACCATTTCATTCATCAGTGCAATTTGATTCAGGAGCTGGCTTATCCTCTGCATGATTAGTAAGTGCATGAAACAGCATCCCACGATTATATCGATAGCGGAAAGCACCTATATATATGTTCTCTTTTTAAATTTTAAATATTTTAATTATTATTATTTTTGCAAAACAACAGACTATAGATTATATTAATTATTTGATCGAGAAGCCAAAGTTAGGTATGATAAAAGTAGAAGGCCGATCGATCACCTGATCCTTGTCCTTGTTGAGCAGGAGGAGGAGCTCCTTCTCCCTCCGGTGTCGCCGACTCAGGTACATCATGAGCCCTGCGAACCCGGCTACGGCGGCGAGCCACCAGCCTTCACCTCCACTCCAACCGCTCCCTTTTCCTCTCCAAAGAGGAATCCTCGAGCACACCATCTCGAGCCCCGTTTCAAGAGACCTCCTTCCCGAACCCGACAAAGCACACCGCTGCATCACAGCTCTCTCTTCCTCCTCCTCCTCCTCTATCTTCTCCTCGTTCTCTACCGCAGAAGCCGACATCTCGACGCCAAGGTGCGCGTGAGGGTGGAGGTCGAGACCCTCGTGGAGATTGGGTGGGAATACAGCATTCCCCTCCTCCGCCAGGTGCGGCCGCTCAACATGCTCCCACTCGTCCGACACAGCCGCCTCCGTCATCCCGGCGAAGCTTTCACTGCCGCCGCTGACGGAGGAGAACAACTCCATCGCCTCCCCCGCGCCACCCATCAACGGACCGAGGCGATACTATGGCCCGCGTCCGACGTCATGATGCCGCCAATAAGAAAGCACGTCCCTTTTTTCGACGGGTATGTTTCTCGCGGCCAAAAAACAGAAATTTTGCCTGAGATATTTTCTCCCTGTGATGCGATGGCTTTCTTGGATTTTTATAGAAATGGAAGATATTTCATCTCAAATATCTCAGTAGGTTCTATGATCCAATCTAATTAGTAATGTGGTCAAGTTCAAATTAACCAATTCATGGCTCTAATACTTTTGATTCTCGGTTAAAAATTGGAATCATTCTAATAGAAATAATTTATGTTATTATTATTATTATTATTATTATTTAGTAGGTACTAACTAATTTATTTGATAAAGATTTGATAGATTATTACAAAATTCGAAACTCAATCCACTATGATTATATTTAATATTTAATTTAGTAAAAATAAAAATAATAATGACATAAACTAAAGCTTCAATTAACTTACACTATGATGTAAAGTTTTTGAGATATAAACATACATATGTTAAATTTATATAAAATTTAAATTAAAGACCAATGTCTTCATTTGTGATAAATGTATCTATTTTTCTTCGATTTATCATATTTGATCTATATATATCGGAACATGTTCGCATGTGTCGTAGTAATCGACTTATAAATGTTATATACCGGCACATGTTTGTATATACCGGAACGGCGCATCTAACGTCGCACTCGCCTCCTTTTTGGCTCCATCGAGGTCGTTTCCTCTTTGGTTTGCTGCCGTGCGAAGGAAGAGGAAGAGATTCTGATTCCATGGGCACTCCAGTCTCTTCTGCTGCCTTCCCTTCCGAATGCCGTGGAGATTCGACGCTGCCTTCCCCTGCCTTTTACCGCGCCGTTTATTCCCAGGTGAGTTGGGTTCCACTGGCAGGCGCCTAATTTGTTCGATGAATTAACCTTTTTATTCGTCGGTGTGTGCAGATTGAAGAGGTCGGTTGGGAGCACCTGATGGGAGCAGCGGAAGATCTGTCATGTCTCACCTTCCGACTCTTGTAAGGCTGAGAAGTCGAATGATTTATTGCTATGAACCCTTCTTTTATGTGCCCGTTCCAGTCATGTAAGAAGTTGTAGGGACAAGGATCGCCGTTTCAGGTACCGGACCCGTTTTGGTGATCTAGTCGGACCGGTACATACTGGTCATTACCGGTGTAGCGTGTGTAGATACACCAGTACATGCCAGAGAGGAAGAAAAGGAAGGAGTTGTGGAGGAAGAAGGAAGAACAGGAGATGGTGGAGGAAGAGGAGATAGGAATACATGTGAGAAGCGGGGCGGTGGAGGAAGATGAGGAAGGAGGAAGCAGGAAGAAAGAAGAGGGTAATTAGGGCAAAGGCGGTGCATGGCGGCTGTGTGCGACAGTGTGTGGCAAGGTTCCAGTGTGCTTGCGAAGCAGAGGTCGCGTTGAGAAGTAGAGGTTGCGGCGCGCGCGTGTGTGTGAAGCGGTCACGGCATGCGTGAAAAGCGATTAGGGGTTAAGGAAAATTTCCTATTTATATGAGCGGACCAGACTGTCTGAAACTTGGGCGGTCTGTGTATCCATTGATGACCGGACCGGTATGTACCACCTGTTTCGTCCAAGCAAAATGTCCATCAGCTACGGTTGATGGATATTAAATGGTGTCAATTTAATCATCAAAACATGAACTGTGTGCGAGTAAATTTTTGTACAAGGGCGATGAAGTCTGGATTAAGAGGTTTTTAGATATATGTCAATATTCTTTTTGTTGGTACATTAGTTTTCTTGTGCATAGGAAGAATAATAAAGGAAGTTGAATGATTAAATCCACGGTTTTCTAACAAAGATTAAGGATCATTTAACTCCGAGCCACATTTTCTTTTTCAAAGATGTCTGATAGCTTACTTGATAAAGATCTTGACTATTAATAACAAAGCCATGGGATCAAATCGCATTTTTACTATTTACCTTGCCAAAAAGACTGCTGCTTTTAACAACTTTTATGTAACTAAAAGGAACATTACAAAAAAAAAAGGTTGTTCAGACATCAGAGATATGTTTTAACATTTATATTCTAGGAATCTCTGGAAGAGAGGATCATAAGCAAAATTCTGAAGCATGCATGCTTTGTTCCAGTCATGAGCGTGTAAATTCTATACAATATGGGCTGAATTAGGATGGGTTGATAGTATGGCTTCCAGACGACCTTTATATACAGATCCTTATGGTTTGAAGTCAAGGCTAATATAAAGAGCTTATATAAAGTTAAATAAACACGTATAGTAAAGAGCTTTAGGCTTTTGATATGGAAGAATGAAAGAAAGGATTTTTATAACTTAGCTCCTATCACTCATCGTGTAACTGGCTAGCTACTACCTTAATTCTTATTCTTTTTTTTTTTCTTGATTTTGTTCTTTTGTCACCACTAACGATGTCATTTTGCTTGTCTTTTATGATTAGAGATAAGAAGGGACGAGTGCACATATTAGAGATATCATTACCTTGTAACTATCCCGAATCTTCGCCTACTATTGCTGCGGTAAGTTCAGTGACTTACTCCTCTTTCAAGCTGTTTATATTTTATTATGGTCTTGCTGTAATAAAATGATGTATTTAAATGCTTACCACTTTTTGACACTCTATCTCTTGAGTTTTTATGAGTTCATCATGTCCTTTTTCGAATCCATCCTGTATCCGGACACTTAATTGACTAAATCTCCTTTGTGTTTATCAGGAACATATAATTGACATATATTTTATTCTCTCATGAGACTTCTTAGAGAGAATGCTACTAATTGCATTGTCTAGGCCCTTTGGCATACCAATTGAATGTCTATGCTGCATAGCAGTTTGTTCAATTACACTAAACATTACACAATATGTAATATGTATTTCTACTTTCGTGATGTAGACATATATTCTTATTCTCTTATTCGCCTGCAATAATATTTTTTACTCAATGTTATAATTAGCTAATTTTACTTGAAAACCCTTTCTCAAATTATCACTGTACTTTTGAAGTGCTATAATATACTTATACACTGAAAAACACCCTCTAAAGTTTCAACTAATGTGTCAACTGAAATACACTTTGCCTTCAGGATGTACCTTGTATCAATGAGGTGGTGTGGTCCGAAAAGTCAAGATTGAAAGATGTTGTGCAACAATTTGATGAGGTACAAGAAGCTTTACATGTTCTAGTGTTTTCTTTTACCCTGCTATATATGTACCCCGCCACTTGGTCATGCAGAACTGTTCCTTTAGTGTGAGCATTATGTGACTGCAATTATGCACAGCATTTGCAGAAGTTGCAGGAATTTTGGTCTACCATGGATGACATTGATAGAGATCTCTGTGTTGTTTATCCGAAGGAATCATCTCTTGCAACATCATATTGTCAGATTGGACTTGGTAAGATTTTTGAACACATTCAAATGATGACACTACTGTAGTTATTAGTACATTATCAATTGATAATGAATAGTGTTGTCACTCTTTCAGGCAATGACTGCTATCTTTTATTACATATCAGTACTTCAAGCCCAAGGTCTTTACCAGAGTAGGTTTCACTAAGAAGCTGTAGCTTTGGCTTAATATACATTGTTTAAAACTAAGTGATCTCCAGGTGTCGTTTCTTTGGTCCAGACTCAGCTGTAGTTTTAATGAGGAATAACTGGAAGAAGAATGCTATAAAATGGTAAATTCTAATCTTTCAATGGTTTGTTTTATTTAGAATTCTGCAAATCCTCAATAGGAGTAGAGCACTTTGATATTGAAGGTAGCAAACTGTTCATGAATTTTACCATAAAAGATTTTCTAGTCACAAGCTAGTGCTAGATGAGGCAATTAATGCAATATGCAAATCTTTTTTATATATTTTATAAAGAAACAATTATAGTACAAATCATGTGGTAGTTCATTTATTGTTGAGTTGAAACTCATCTTTTGCTTAAGTAATCATATCATACATACAATCTAGTTACAAAGCTAGTGAGCAACATTTAACTGTAGCAGAATATTGCCAAAATTCTGCTTATTGGAGATTACCAGATTTGCTTCTTCAATAAATCTGGCAATCTAGCGAGCAACCAGATGAGGAAGCTAGTGAGCAACATTTGCTACTTTATTGAATAAGCAATATGCTCAATTCTACTCAATGTCAGGTTTATCTGATATTTCTGTTCAATTCTTTTGCAATATTGGGTTGGTCAGACTACCCTGGTTCTGATGGTCTTGACAACCCCTGAATTGCCCTGTCAATAAATTGGTGAACATCTCATCAGCCCAGACATTCCATGCAAAGTCAGGATAATTAGATTACTTCCATTTGAAAGCTGAGCTACAATACATGTATATAAAATAAATTTATTGGTATACAATTATTTAAACTGAACATATGAATGAAGAAAACAAAATGTTTAATCAGATTGGAGCGTCTATTATAATCACTCCATTCTATGGTATTCAGTTATGAATGTATGCTTCTCTCTTATTTTTGGGAAAAGGTATAGAATCTTTACCGTCAAAACATCAAATTTGCAAGATGTAATAACTGCTTGATGATGGACAGGAAAGTTGACAAACCATTCCACGAGAATCTGGCAGCACTTTTGGAGAGAGAACTACCTGGCCCTCCTGTGAGCAGTAAAGATGATGGGCAAGTTGATTGCGGAATTTGCTATGCTCAGTACTTGCCAGTTGGTAATGTTAGTTATGCATGTCGCTTAATCATACATTTCCCTGCTGAATATATTAGTAACTTAATATTTCTGAAGACGATGAACTTGGAGCTAACAGCGGAAGTGCACCGGACTATACCTGCGAAAATCCTAGTTGCAGTAAAGCTTTTCATACCGTATGCCTCAGAGATTGGCTGCATTCCATTACAACAACGAGGAAGTATGTACATTTCGGCCAGTCATCGGCATCGTTGTTTGTTAATTTATATTTTAAGTTCATGTTATCCGAGTTTTCTTTATGTGTTTCTGTGTCTCTTTTCTCAGGTCATTTGATGTTCTGTTTGGAGACTGCCCCTATTGTTCTGAACCTGTCGCAGTTAAAGTTAATAACTGACATTAATTCAGAGATTAACAACTCATTATCTACCACAAGAATGTGTCAGTTCTGGACTTGTGTAAGAGAGAGAGAGAGAGAGAGAGAGAGAGATTTGTGCATCAAATTATCCTTTTTGTTGCTTCGATCGTCGGATTACATTATACTTGTGGTGATTACATTATATGCATTTATCCTTTGTGGATTCTGTGCCGTATGCAGCAGGGTTAGTCCTTTTGGTAAATCGAAGAGTCATACAAGTTCATGATCACGAGGAGGGCCCCATCAAATCAACTGATCAAGTGGTCCAGATTGAAATCATGTTCACAGAGCTGCCACCACCATTAATCTGGTTTGAGAAGGTGCGTAACGGTCTGCTTTCACAACCAGCCTAGACTTCTCTGCCTTCTTTTGCCGCAAAAGTGTTAGCTTTGCGTGCGCCATCAGCTAAATAGACGCTGCCAGCCTTTTTATTCTTCGCAGTGGCAGTTTCCATTCCAAGCCAAAGCCTTTTGATGATTCGCTGATGGCAATGACACCAGAGCTTTGAGAGCAGCATCCAAGGAGCCATCAAAAAGCTCTTAAACCAGGTAACCTCTGATGGTGACAACTCTGCTTGTACTGGGTTGTATTCATCTTTATGTTTCTACGGGTATTGCCATGAATATAAACTTGTGAAGAACATACGTTCCATTTTTTCTAGTTTGGAAATGCATTGCCATCAAACTATTTGTGCTAACCAAGTCAAAGCTTTAAGTGATCTCTTTGTTGGTCGAAACCAGCGAGAAGCCAAAGAGATTGTAAAGACAGATGACTGCTAAATGCTGTTTTTTTTGTTTTTTTACCTAGCAGCATGTAGGAAGTAAGAACAAGAAAAAGGTTGCAATCTAAACCATATTAATATGCTGATATGACAAAATCTCTGTTCTTTTTAAGGAAGATTTTCGAATGTGTTCTTATGAACAACATGCATTGTTCAAAGGTCACATTCTCTCTCCCGCAGTCTCCTCTGCTGTCAAGAGAAAAGAGCTTTGGCGTGTGGGAGGGGGGGACTGCTCAGCAGAGCTATACTGCAAGCAAAACGCAAAACTTAGCAGCCAGCGTTGTGTGATACTGGTCACAGTGGACACAGCAAAGTCATAACTCACAGCTGTTATCTGAGTGTCTGCTTGTGAGGAGAATCCTCCCCCTTGACATCTGACCACCCTAGACTTTGTGGGTTCAGCCTTCCTGCTATTTTGAGTCATCGGTTAGTCTCCCAATCTCTCTCCCTCTCTCTTTCCAACTTTTGTGGTGATGGCTTGCAAGAGACATGGTTGATGGTTGGGAGTCTTCTTTCATGTTGCTTTCTGATGTGTTTGGGGTGACTGAAAGTGTATCTCTTTCTCTCTCCAACTTTTGTGGTGATAGGTAGGCAGTAGACATGGTTGCTCTCTGATGCATCTGGGGTGATTGAGGGCTCATGGATCAATGCTGCTGAGGTTGGTTTGAAATTTTGCGTCCCTTTATTTCAGACTTGCTTTCTTTCTCTCTTTCTTGCAACCTCTGCACCAACTGTTGTGTGTGCTTTTGCTGCTGCTCTCCTCCCTCTGTTGTGTCCTTTCTCTCTGCCTGACTGATTGCCTAGCAAAGCAAGATTTTATGGTTATCAATGCATTCAAGACCTGAATCAGTAGTACGCCATTACAGATACTTATCTGCACTCGGGTACACCAGTAGCAATCATCCCCTCAATATTTTTCTCTCTTTTCCCTTCCAATTATTAAACTAAGAGAATCTCTCAGGACAAGACTGGACAACAAGAAGCACATCACTCCATATAAATATGTTGACATGTCTCACTTTTCCTCCCAACTCAGTAACACTCAATCATGCTCATGAATTAGACAATGGCTCTCTTTAGCTGCTCCGTCGACCCTCCAAGGCATGTTCATCTCCTCTCATTGCTCCTCCTCTTGAGCTCCCTCCATCCCCTGTGTTTGACTGAAGGTAGATTTAGCTATATGTGGATAACACTTCTAGAGTTTTCCTGTACTTCTTTGGCATGACAGTTTATGCTTCTTTGGTTTCAGGTAGGCCATTTTTGATGCTTCAGGAGGTTGTGAAGGTTAGATTCTGGTCACCAAGTACTCCTTTGTTCTTATCAACACTCTGGGTTTGCTTTTGATCACTGACTCCACATCTTGGCTTGAGTTTCAGGAGGGCGAAGAGATGAAGGTGGGGGAGGCGATGCTCGGATCGAGGCCGCCGAGATGTGAAGGAAGGTGCCTCACCTGTGGCCAGTGCGAGGCAATTCAAGTGCCTGCAGTCCCTCAGGAGACGAGTGGAACCAGGCATTTCTCCACAGCAATCACTGCAAGGGGTGATGACAGCTCCATCTACAAACCCCTGAGCTGGAAATGCAAGTGTGGAGGGATGATCCTCAACCCATGACCTGCTACAAACAGAGCAGTCTCGCATACTCATCTCTATGTGAATAGATAGATACCTGGAGCAGTGGCTTCCCCTTTGTCTTGTTCATGGCTTGTGTTCAGATCTCCTTGTACTGCAACAGGCAACATCCCTCCTTTTGTTTTATTACCTGGTGTGGGATCTCTAAGCTAGTTTTATGTGGGTATATACTACTGTAAACTCGTAACATATCTCATCTTCTGAGCCCTCTAATTTTTATTGTATGGAGCACTTGTTCCACCAGTTGGTATTCATTTCTTTGTTGTTGTTCATGTTACCAGCTACCTTGCACAGAGTAGTAAGAGAACTGGCACAACTATTTTGGCTATGCCATAGGCCATAACTCCTCCATGAAAGGTCAAGCCCCCATGATATGATGCCATTACCTTACAGTGTTGACAGGAACAAGGCAAGTAATGACTCTTCCAACACTCTTCCCAAAACCTAGATTTACCAAACAAGGGTTAAGAGATTACTTTCTGCAGGTTATTAAACTTGCTTGCCGCCAAGAATACATGGGCTTGGTTGTAGCTGAGGGCTATAGGAAGTACATTCTGATGGGACTCACCCATGACATGAAAGGATTAAAGTCATATCTATGCTTCCTCCACTGCCCATAGGCCACCAATCATCTCTCTCTTTTTCTCCCTCTTTCCTCTTTGAGCACATGGAACAGAATTTTAGGAATTTGAATCAATTTCATAGCAAAAAGGAAAAGTAAAAAAAAACTACATCTTTGATATTGTGAGCTTTTTTCTGAAGAAAATGAAGAAAAATTCATACTTTGATCTGAGACAGCTTTTTTGATCCCATTTCTCTATCAACTTATGTTTTATTTGAATTATTTTTTATCTTTTTGAGATTACCTTATCACAGAAACTTGTTAGGATGAAAGAATATAAAAGCATTTGAGCCGTACCCGCTGGCTTACCCGCACCATAACCGGAGGACCGCAGGTGGGTCCAACGGTGACTGCAGTCGTGGAAAGCCAAGTAGAAGCCAATGCAAGAAATAAACGGATCCGGGTTCAATGTCGGTAACGGATTCGGGGATCCGGGTTCAATGTCGGTAACGGATTCGGGTTCGACCATCGATAAAGATAGGAGAGGTGTTCGGATTTGGGGTCAAATAACGGGTTCGGGTTTGCTCACCGAACTGACCCGTTCAAGAAGCAGATTAATCCGCTGAAATCGAGAGGGTGGAAGCAACCATCCATGGCGGCGTCAATGGCGAGATCCGGCCTTCGATCGGCGTCGCTTCTTCTTCGCGGGGGAGCGAAGGGACGCGCTGGCGCCCCAACCAAGAGGAGCTTCTCCGCCTCTGCTCACGATGACGCGTGTAACATTTCGTTCATCTCGCTATCTCGTCCTATTTCGATTTGGTTTCGATCGGTTTAATCCCGATCTGCGGTTCGTAGTAACGACTTAAGGTTTCGTGTATTTTGGTGTGGAATCTGTGCTTAGTTGTTGCGATACTTGCAGACGAGACCGCCAAATGGGAGAAGATAACGTATGCCGGGATCGTGACTTGCACGACCCTCGCGATCTATAACCTCTCCAAGGGTCACCACCACGGCGAAGAACCACCGGTATTCTTTCAATTTTCCCTCCTCCATCCTTTGTTGTTTTATGTGATGATCAAATGGATGACCTTTTTCTAATCGGGTTAATCTTCATTGTCAGGCTTACCCTTATTTGCACATTCGCAACAAGGAATTCCCTTGGGGTCTGTTCTCTTTGCCCTTTTTTCTCCTTAAGTGACGGCACTAATGGTTTCTAGTTTCTTCATTGTATGCTTAGCGTCATAGCAATTTTCTTGGTCAGATTGTTGCTTATTATGTCAGAAATGCTTCTTGTGGATAGATACGGTTGAGTTTTAGTGTTCTCATACTAGTAATTTTGATGAACTAGAAGAACAGGTCACCTAGGAATCACCAACCACATTACTCTTCGTTACCATGCATGAATTGACGTGATTTTGAAAAGAGATATAGTCCTAGAAAAATTGTTAAGAGTCCTGCTCTCTATGCATATCAATTCTTATCTGGTTCCTATCATTCACCTATTTTTCTTTCTTCGCCAACTAAGAAGCTCAATCTTTTTGAGCATCATCTGTTTGATTTACTTTTTAAAGCTTGGTATTATCTTTCTGAACTAAACTTTAACGAAGTTGGACTTGGTTGAAGATCACTGTTTTCTTAGCATGTTATTCCACACACAATGTGACTCTCTTGTTTGTGTTATGTGCAGCTTGTGTTTCTTCCCTTCCTGTGCCTCTTATGGTTTAGATGGTTGTTTGCTCTCTTTTAAGATCTCGTTATCTTAATCTGAGATCAGGGAATTTAGGAAGCAAGTTGTTTTATAGCACCTTTGATCTCGTCTAATAACCCAGTCGAATGAAAGCTCATCACTAAAAAAAAAGCTTCTCAATGAATGTACATATGAATCAAGTTTGATAGCTGCTAAGTTACCTGTTTCCTTCATAGTGTAGCTTTTTTTTTTTGGTACTTTTAGAATTCCCTTTGCACCAATTTTGCAGGTTTCATCATATTGTAAGTTAAACGACAGTGATTAACCTGACACATATAAAAGCTCTCAAAGATATCAAGATATTACTATCTATATGAGTTGATGTAATTGGCTTGAGCTACTTAACTGGAGCTTATAGTATACCTCTTTAGGCTTATATACAATGCCCTCATTCTGCAATATGTTAGGTAAGATTGATAAAAAATGAGGTCCATCCAAATAAAATAACAAGAACCATACTTATAATACCCCAAGTTTAGTCCCACATTGGAAATAGGAGAACATTTAAGGTCGTTTATATGTAACTTGAGAACTAAGTATACTACCTTTTTAACTTGAGAACTAAGTATTTTGGATTAGTGGTTCAAACTCAATATGTTAGTGGATCGGTTATCTCATCGAATGGGACTATTTTGGACTATGTTGGTCTTTATGATATTTGGTATGGGGTTCAGAACGGACAAGTTTGTTCATATCCGGTTGAAATTTATCTTTTTGGAGTAGGTTGATTGTTGGCCAACTAAATTGTAGGATTGGTTGGAATTGATCCAACATTCATTTTACTAACCAACAGAAGTCAAAAATCAACATGAGCAATACTTGGTTTAGATAGAGTGGTCATGTCTTAATCAATTGGCAAATAATTGCTAGAACAGGTTTAAACCTGCCAAATCGTAGTCAGGTGGATCCTAATCTAATCTGGTCGATTTGGACATATTTGATTGGTTCCTACAAGAACTGATTTAGATTGGAAGTAGCAATTACATGTAATTTATGGTTGCCCTGATTGTAAGGTTTGAAGCAACGGGATCAGAATCAAAATCAGCCCTATGATCAACAACACTATACTGTGCTGCAGACTTAGCATATTGCATGACAGGTTTTCTTTTGGCAAAATTAACATACTCCCATGCTTTCCTTTTCGCGTAGTGCTTATTTGGTCCTTTGTTTTGCTTCTTGTCATAAAAGTGGTTCATTTGTTTCTTTTCTATTTTACTCAACCATTCATTGCATCTTTAGGAACTTATGTCTACTCTACTTTGCCTTTATTTTGCTGCTTCTCATTTACAAGCAGTTCATTTGTTCCTTTTCTATTTTACTCGAGAATTCATTGCATCTTTAGGAACTTACATCTACTCTGCTTTGCACATTTGTTTTCATACACACACACACACACCCCTCTTTGTTTGTTTACCATTGTTGATCTTTATCATATTTTGCTTCCAGGTCCCAATAGTCTTTTTGAGAAGAAGCATCATGCTGATCACTAGACAACCACTTCAGTGTTAATGTTCTTGTTTATTGTGTTTCATTGTTGAGAATGTCAGATCCTGGATCTACTTTGTGAAGCTGCTCTGCTTTAATATTGTGTTTCAATAAAGTTGTGGAATCTTATGATCTGAATGACATTCCAGCGACCCTGTTTTTAATCGTCATACTCATTCATTCTGCGAGTGTCAGTATATTTTCAATTGTTCTTGGAAAATTTTATCTATAGATGTATGTGGTGGTGTATTTAGCTTGGAACACATCCATGCTACACTTATAATGAAATCGTATTAATAAATAGTTGGTCTTATCATATGCTCAATTCCAGTTATCAAATGATTATAATTTGGCTAACAACATATCATTACATTTGGTGCTTGTTTTCCTGTGTTGTTCACAGTCCAGGAAGGCAGCTTTGGACCTTTGGTGCCACCTTTCTTGTTCAAATGTATTGCTTCTGACATGGTGCTCCATTAATTCTTTTACAGTACCCCTCCACCTCCACACATGAAATAAATCTATCTGCACCAAGCAGATCATCATGATTGAATTGGCCTTTGCATGAGACAGCAATTCACATTCTTAGAAGCACTAGTTACCTTCGGTGGCTGCAAAATGTTTTGATGGATGTTTATGTTTCTGACCTGTTTTGATTTATATAAAGTAATTGCTATTCATTGGAATACATTTGTTATAAACTATATATGGTAGATATTTTCATGATCATTTTGACCACGTATGGTCAAGGTTTAACTTATCAGTCTGAGCTGCTGTGCTGGTCGACTCGACACATGATATATCGATATATGACTTGTGTCATTTCGTACGAATATATCGACACATGATATATTGGTCCATACCAATGTTTTGACAAGAAAGAGATTGATGAGGAATAAAAGAAGTGCAGCGATACGATGGTCATATATACCGTCGAAACCATACCGTTTCGGGCGGCACAACAATCCCTGCATATGATTCCCAGAATTTAGTACCTGTTTCTGTTTTAATATCATGTCTTGATGAGAGACCAATAGAACACACAAACTGTGTTGCGAGACATTAGAGGCAACTGCTACTTTCAACACAGGAGGATGATTTGAAGCTCTGTTTGGGATAAACCCATCTGCTTCCATTCCTTGAGCTATTGCATGCTCAAACCATACACATGTAAAAGCTAAATGCAGGACAAATTTCCCCAGCTATATCTAAAACATCATTACAGCTTTGCAGCATGCCATGGCATTAGCCATTTGTTAGCAGATAGCAGCAGCATGGCACAATAGAGCAGAATAGATTGCTTTTGCCCTTGTAGCCATGAGAAGCAAAAAGGAAGAACACAACATGACTGCCTCCGGGCACTACCAACTACACTTAATCTACTATGCTTCTGCAGCTTCCTGCTTACCGCTACGTATGTTTTGGATGTCCGGCAAATCAAAAAGTTCACCGCGTGCATCTCTATTTTTATCTGCGGCTAAACTGTTCGACGAATTGCCAGATTCCAGTTTAACGGATGTTCCATTCTCATATTGTGATTCTTCTGGTCCAGAAACCTTATCAGTCTTCTGAATTATCAGCCTCACTGCGTTAGCTTGTCCATCGATTGATTGCTCGGTGCTAGTTTGATTTTGTGAAACTGTGGGATTAATTGGATCCAGCTTTACCATCAGGTTGGCCTGGGTTTCAATCCTATCTACCGATACTACAGTAGAATTCTTCTGACTCATTGAGAAAGCTGTAAAATTTTTCGCATCTCTGCCAGTTTGGTTGTTGATGATACTTGCAATTGTTGGAATAGGCTGCTGCTGCTGTTCCTTGTGGTTCTTGGATTCGCTTGTTGTTATATTTGCAGCCGACACATTTGCTGGAACGATCCTTGAATTGGTTCCCTGCGAATTATCGAGCAATTTGCTAGAACTCGAATCTTCGAGTGTTTCATTGGCAAAACTTCGAGCCTCTCCATCTCTTCTGTCTGCCATCTTGGATCCAGTCTCATCCAGCTTCTTCAATCCTCCATCAACAGTTTCAGACTCTGCCTCATTCACCTTTGGCACATGAGCTACTGCACTGGATACATCATCAGCTCTAAAACTCCTCTCTCGTGCCTCCTGAGACCCTTCTCCATGTTCCACCTCTTGCATCATATGGGCTACCTCACTGGAGGCATCATCACCTCTGAAACTTATTTCTCGAGCCTTATGAAACGCCTCTTCGTGATCTCGGTCCTCAAATGCATCCACATCCTTGGTCTCATCCTCACTCTCCTCACGAGTATCCTCTTCATCCTCGACCTTGTCGTGCTTAATTCCATGTTCTACCTTCTTATCATCCTCCTGCTCTTCTTGCTTGATCCGGTCCACTATGTTGACAGGATGAGACAGATCTTTCCTGCTAAACTTTGTGATGCCAAGCTGCCTCTCGTCGCCCTTGAATGAGACCTTCGAGTCGCTCTCTTCGTATGCTTTCTTCTTGTACTGAGAGTAGTTCATCTGATAGATCAACCAGACAAAGATGGCAACCAACAGACATATTTGAAGAGCACTTTTGGGCTTGAGACCCCCCTTTCCTCTCTGATTCCTACTTGATACCTGCCTCAGCATGGTGATTCTGCTCAAGAAGGTCTGTCACTCTTGAAATGCCTGTCCACAGGATGAAATGGAGGATCTCAGATGACAATGATGGAAGCATATATTTAAGACTGTAACTCTATGTTCTCCTTTTCTCATTTAGGCACCAAAAGAATCCCAACATCACAGTGCAAAGAAAGATCAAAGTGACCTCTAACATCTCTATGTTCTGCACAAAAGGCATATATCTTCTCATTCAGGCACAAAAAGAATCTCAACATCA